ACTTTCTAAACATAGTAACTGATACAAGTAAAATTTTATTTAAAAAAAACATAAAAAAGAAGGAGAATTTAATTGCTCCTAATACTGCTCGGACGGTACAGCCTGTACAGACAGGTGGGCAAGCGGTGAAAAGTTTTGCGGGTGAGAAAAGCAATCTAATCTGTGATGGCTTCCAACGAACAAAAGTAAAAGCTCTCAGCCTATACCCCTCCAAAGCGGCAAGTGTCTCTCATTCCTTCTCTTTCTCACACACTCTCCCCTCGCTGTTCAGTACTAGTATTCTTTCTACATACAGAGCCAAAGCCATGCCTCGGACGTATCAAAGTTCGAGCAGCGACAAGGCAGGGACTTTCTTTTCTGCAACCCTGGTTCTATGGTTTGTTTCTATTCTGTTTGAAATTGTGTTCAACAAGCGGAGAGAGCTCCTTTACGTCGTTGCTGGTGGTTGCTTTTACCAAATAGCAAATTGGGTTATTAGAGTTCGCGTCTCTCGTGACCCTCTCTTTGTTAACACCTCTGTCTCTCTCCTTCACTCCACAATCACTTCTACTTCAGGTTCATATCATTTAAAATTCCTTTCTTTCTCTTTTTGGAATTTTTATTTTTTATTTTTTGCTTTTTCTGTCTTGGGTATTTGTTTCTTAATTCTTACTTTCTTTTCCCCATTCCTTGGTAGTTTAGTTTGTCTGTTGAAGGATATGTGAAGTATCTGTTAAAGAGTTTGATTTTTATTTTCTATGCTTTCGTTAATTGTAGCAGAGATTTAGCTTTCTGTAAGGCGTAGGCATATGTTTTGGACACAGAATGTAAAATTTGTACCGTGCGATAAATTTAGAACAAGGTAGGCATGTGCTTGCTAATGCTTGTCTTGGGAATTGAAAAGGTGTAAACAATTGCAATGTTGAAAGCTAATTGCAGCCGTCATAGCATCATCCTTGTTTAATTTGCAGTCAGAACTTTGTATTGTAACCATATATGAAGTTGGATATTTTGGAATTTAAAGGCCTATACTTTGATAGAAACACTGCAATGGGTTTTAAATTTAATGGTGAATTTGATGACCGACATGAACAACTATAATGAAAGAAACATAAACATCAAATTGGACAAACTGGAAATTTCAAATGAACTGGAAATATTTACACAGGATGTGTTGTTATATGTTAAGAACATCACTTCGAGCTTAGGCCCAAACTTGAATGCAGCTCTGAAGTACAATCTGAAAAAGGTTATAACTTTTGAAGTGATCTGGCATCTTATAAACTATTAAATTAGTGAGATCTATATTAAGGATATGGTGTTGGGTAATCCTTGTTGATAACCAAACGGCTAAATGCCTCTGTGAATGATTGTTGGTGGATATAAGTAGGAGCTATTATGTATGTAATTTAACCTAAGGAAGAAAGCAGAAGCTTACGTCAGGGCAGGATAATCATTCTTTGAGATAATGCATTGGCTTGGGTAAAAATGTAAGCTTAGGGGGAGAAAAAAAGGAGTCTCTAGCTATGCTTGTGTATGCATGTGCATCTTTCTTTGTGGGGTACATGTATGAATCAACTAATTAAATACCAATTATTGTAGTGCACTATCGATGAGAGGGATAAAAATACTGGTTATGTGTTGGTAAAAATGTATCAAACGCTCAGAAATTATGGTATTCCTTTTGTTTCTGGGCATTTTTTTTTCTTTAGTTGGTTGTTTTTGTTCTTCTCTTTCCTAAATTCAGTTTTTCCTCTTCTTTCCGTGCAGTGGTTTTCATTTTGGTTAATCAGTGGTTAAGGACTGGTTTCAAGAGGATGTTTGATCATACACAACTTGTTGAGGGTACTTGGCCTTGGGCATACCAGGCTCTGTGCTTCTCATGTGGTTACTTTGCATATGATCAGTGGGATATGCTGCATTACCATCTATATTCTGGCATTATCCCTGCCATTCTAATGCATCACCTAATACTCCTTATTTGCTTCACACTTGCATTGTATCGACATGTCACCATCAACTACCTTATTCTCACTCTCATTTGTGAGGTATGTTTCAATTTCTTTCTGCTAAAAATATTAGTAGAATTATGGCTTGATTGGTAGGCATTAGTACAGGCTTACTTGTATAGTAATATAGAATATGCCAGATTGAGATCCTAAGGGGGCAAATAAATAAATTATTTACAGTTTTAATGTAACTAACCAAGTGTTTTTAGTTCAAGATAAAAATATTTACGGTTTTAACTCATATGTGGCCCTTTGTTTGGCATGTTAGTCACTAAGATGGACATGTCTCAAGGTGCATTCTAATATGAAGCCATGAACCTAATGGAATGGAATTTTTACACTTGCAGCTTCAGACATTTCCTTAAGTTAAAAGCTCCAAAACTACACGCATTAGAATACTGGATTAGATAAACAGTTAAAATGAAAAGCATAGTTGGTAGACAGATATTCGTAGGGCAGTTTATTTGAGCCTTTCAGATTTGGTTTAATGCAAGCATAACTGGCTGTTGATGCCAGTGGCTGCAGATGAGGTAGCCTTTTCCTTTGTTTTTGGATAACCGGTATGAGGTGTGCTTCTTGGTGATATCTGATGCTCATAATATATGAGATTCGTAAGCAACCATTTTTCTTTATCTTTTCGTAGAGGAAGTGGCGGGATAACCCTGTGAGATAATCTTTTGTTGGCTGTACATTGAGTTTTGGATCTTGCATACTAAATGAGTTTGAAGGTTTAACAAACTTTGAAAATGATTTAATAGTAAAAATGAGCCCCAATATCTGGAAATTCTTTAAGTTTTTTTCAGCATCAATTCAAGCAAGCTTTATGATGCTGTTAAAGAATGCTAAAGGTAATTTTTGTTGTGATGGTGCAGCTGCATTCTATCTTTCTACATGTGAGGAAAGTGAGACGGATGGTTGGTGTTCGCGATGCCAAGAGCAAAGTTGTGAAGGTAGAATGGGTTCTTAACTGGATCATGTTTGTCTTGGCAAGGATTATATCTCATGTTCTGATAACCGTAAAGCTAATCAAAGATGCTTCCAAGTTCGAAAAGGGTGTTGAATGGCCACTTGCCATGTTTGGAATGGTGGGAATGAATTTGCTTAATGCTTTTCTCGGCATTGATCTCTTCAATGCATTCAAGAGAGAGAAAAAACCCCAGCAGAATAATCAAAAACGCCGTGAATGACTGACAGAACAATGTCCGGAAAGACTTTACTAAATCTTAAAAGTTGTCATTATTTTTTCCCATTGATTTCACACGGGACGTTATATCCAGTTCGGAATGTGGTACATTTTTGTAAGCATGCTGCATATAAACACTGTAAATTATGCACAATGGAAAATGTGATTTGTTTTCAACAGTCTAGTGTACATAAATGATATTTGACAGATTGAACGGATGTTTTTATCCAGCAGTACCCCGCTGTCTATTGCACTTGTCATTGGCCTCTGTTTGCAAACTAAACTAGTTTTTAAGGCTATACTCATTTTTATCCGAATTTATTTTAGGTGAGATGAATGTCATTGATACATTCTGGAGGGAGGAAGATGTAGTTTTCCAACGAAAAATTTAAAGGCTTGGTTCATGCAGTATCAAAATTTATAGGTGTTAGTAGTTTCAGGGCAAAAGAGAAACTGGAGTAAACTTAAGAATATGTTATGAGGAGCAAGAAATACAAAGACCAGATAAAAAGCCCAAGGTCCCACCGGGAGTCGAACCCAGGTCGCTGGATTCAAAGTCCAGAGTGCTAACCACTACACCATGGAGCCTTGCTGGTGCAAAGCATGAATGGTTATAGAAACGCACTAGTCATCATTAATTCGATACGACGTTCAAATTTAAATAAGCCAAAATATTCCAACAGGACAGCTGAAGAAGAAAGGAAAAGAATGGGTTGGCTTCACTTGCAAGAACAAATCAAGCTAGAATGTAAGTCTATGGTAGTCGGCTTTTGCCTAGTTCCAAGCAATGTTATTGTCCTCTAATATCAAGGTTTCTAAAGCAAAAGCCTTACACTCTATGATATAGTATTGTCTCGAAGTTAGGGATAGAAAACCTTTTACTTGTCGAATTTTTTTTTTTCTTTTAAGTTGATTTTCTCATCTCCAAATTTACATGTGTAACCTAAAATTCGAAGACTAAATGCGCACCAGCCTTTGCTCAAATGCGTATCCTAACGTCCAAATTGGGTTACTTTAGTGTCTAACATTAGCAAATTTTTTAATCTATATAACTCGTAAAAGTAGAACAATAACTCAAAACTGGGGTGGTGGCGCAGTTGGCTAGCGCGTAGGTCTCATAGCTTCTGAGTTATCCTGAGGTCGAGAGTTCGAGCCTCTCTCACCCCAGATTTTTCTTTTTCGCCGTGCTTAAATCTTTCTTCTTTCTTTCTTAATGTATTTGGTTCAGTTTTGCTTCTTAATATATTCCTTCTTAAGTCTATTTGGTTTCAGTTTTCCAGGCTATACATACACCATCATTTGGTCAACTGCTTCACCCTATGCCGCCTAGAAATGAGAGAGTATTTACTAGAACTATTTACCCTTGATAAGAAAGATTAAAGAGATTACTTATTCCAAGAACAATGATCATATAAAATTAAAAACTCCTAGTTTGAGAATTTAGAATCCAAAGATAACGGAATCCACATCAAATAACCTGCAAGCTGCAGGTTAGACAGCAACTTCATTTACAAGCCTTCATAAACAACCAACAACAGCAAAACCAACAATATTACACCACCCCTTTCTTCTTTTTGCAGAGAAACCACAATTTACTTGTTTTTGCTTGATTAATTATTTGATACCCATACCCCCTTAATTAGAAATGGATCATATGATCTAACCACAAGCAAATTGGCTTGAAGAAGTTTGTGTTTTCCCCTTTTCCTAAGAGGCCCATTTTGACTCTTTCAAAGCTAACATGGGCGAAATTTAAAAGGAAACTGGAAATACAACTGTCAAGTTGTCTCCAGTAACAATAAAGAGTAAAAGCAAAGGCTCCAGAAGCGTAAACCCAAGCATTCGAAATTCGAAATTTCAATATGAAACTTTTGTATCCAGAGTCTAGACAACCATTCATGACGTATAAAACTATAAATGAGATAACCTAAAAGTGAACTAACTAATGGTGATTAAACAGCATTTAATCACTGCCTTCGAAATGACAAACAATTTCTTTGTTTTACAACTAATCTAAGTGTCTTAAATTTCTAGTTGTATCCCATTCTTACTCCGAGTGAAAAATTTTGCAAACCCATTTCGGTTCTTCTCTGAACTAGCATGATTTGATGACACAATTGATGAAGATGAAGATGAAGAAGGTGGTGTGTTTCCATCGTTCTTATTTACTGAAGGACCAGAATGGTCAGCATTAACTCTTGGAGAATCTGGATCTCTTTTAGGAGAATATGTTTCATTAGAATGCAACTTCCAAGGTTCTCCACCAGCTTTAGGAATCAATGATCCTCCTCTAGAGAACTCTGGTATGCTCGTGGTGTCAATTAAGAAGTCTTCCAGCGTTGCAAGAGATTTCAGTTGCTGCCCTAAAGATGCTATTGTTTTTTGGCACTCGGCAAGTTTTCCAGCAGCTACAGCCAAATCCTCCTGCCATAGGGTCATGCTACTATTAGAAAGATGGAATATACTGTAATTTTAAAACTCCCTAGTAAATAGAGATGCATAAGATAGTGTAAATAAATGAAGACTGAAGAGTAACCTGTTTTATCTTCACTTCAACGTTTGAGTTTGCAGTTTGCTGGAGCTCAGCTTCCTGTCTCTTTCTTGACAGCTCTTCTTCCAATTCTTGACACTTGACCGTAATTTGTGCTGACAATGCCCTTTCCTTTTCAACTTCTGTTTCTAATGAATCAATCTTTGCAGACATCGTCCGAGCCTCTGCTTCGATGCTAATGAGTTGAGACTCAAGAAGTTGCTTTGATTCGGTTGCATTAACTGAAACTTCCGCCGACAAGGCCCTTTCCTTTTCAATTTTTGCTTCTAATGAGTCAATCTTTGCCGACATTGTCTCTGCATCTGTTTCCATGCTACTGAGTTGAAACTCAAGATGTTGCTTTGCTTCATTTGCCATGTGGAACTCCCTTTCCAATTCCTCCAATTTTGTTTCAGTGTCCCTCAACTGTAGTGCTGATGCTTCAAGACTTTCTTGACTTTTGGCAAGAGCAATCTCTAGTTCAGCCTTCTCAAGTTCTATCTTCTCCAACTTCTGTTCAAGTTCCGCTGTTCGATGAATCATGGCTTCAAGCTCAGCCTTCAACGAGCTATCAGCATCACTAGATTGTTTGGCAGTAGCTTTTGATTCAACACATTGATTTTCGCTCTTGATTTCAGGCAATGCAGCAAGTCGCTCCATCTCAAGAAAATCATCCATGAGATCAATCTCAATAGACGAACTGGCGAGATTTCTGTTGATGACCTTTTCATTTTTGAATTGATCAAGTCCAGCAATTAAAGCTGATGCCCATGAGTCAGAACAACTAGGTTCTCCTTTGTTTGCCTCCAAGCCACTCATCTTGTGGGTATCAATCTCCACCACATTAAGCCGTTCTCCACTGTCTGATTGACTATCAGTGAGGGATTCAACATAAATTGAGGAGGCAACCGGAGATTTATGGTCATTAACCAAGGATGATTTACAAGCTCGGGCTTTAAGTCTTCGGCACTCTGCCTCAAGCTTTGCTACCTTTTTTATGCTCTCTAAGTGTTGTTTACTAGCTGTTTCAGCAGCTTGGGTGCTTAAGTCCCTTTCAATTGTTCTGATTTCAAACTCTTCTGACTGAGATGAGAGCTCAAGCTTGAGGGCCGAATTTTCCTTCTCCAAAGCTTCAATCTTATGCCAAAGGTCAGGACTGAAGTGAGGAGGGGGCTCAGACTTGACAGCTTCAGCTTTATCTTGGAGCTCAAGCAACTGGCTTTCAAGTTCAAATTTGGTAGTTTCCCAATCCCGGGTAGTCTTTGCTACAGCTTCATTAATCTTCTGCTCCTGCTCCTCTCTTGCTTGTCTTAGCTGCCTAACGCATTCCTTGAGAGCTCCATCAAGATGGCTCACCCGATCTTCTAGTGCTGAGTTTTGCTGAACTGCAGCCTCAAGTTTTTGCTTTAATAGCACCACTTCATTTTCAGCCTTTTCCCAACCTAAAGTTCAATTCAGAAAATTAACTAGAACTTATAACTAGACTATTACTAAAAAAATAAATGATAAATGTGAAAAAAGAATAAACCATTTAGAACATGTTCTCTAACATGTAAGTAATACCTGCAATAGCTTCTTCAGCAACTTTGGCATGTTGCTTCACCAAGTCCTCTTTGGCACTAACATTAACTAAAGCAGCTGATAATTTCTCTGTCAAGCTCTTAATGCTATCATTAACATCTTCACAATTTGCTGAAGCTTTTGATGACACTTCAGGTGATTGTGCGTTATTATTAGGCGATGCTTTGAAAGCCTCCTGCTTCAACCATTACAGAGATGAAAATCAATCTTATTTATGAACAACCAACTGTATTCTGGACAAATAATTAGAAAAGACCAACTTAATAAAAACTCAAGTACAATTTCACTCCACCATAAAAATGAAAAAAGAAAAAGAATATTGGTTTTGATTGCTCACAAGCAACACCTAGCAAGAAAATCCTAGAAGTGGAGGAAAATTAACATTTAGGTGCTTGAAAAGGTGAGAAGAATGAGGATCCCACCCTCTTAACCCCCTTTTCTTTCCTTAAAAAAGCATTCTTCTTTATAAATGATTTAATGGGTTCGTGGAAAAATTAATGATTTATTCAGTTTTCCTTGTATATATGGTTGCACTAAGCATATCTTAGGTGAACACATCCAGTTATATACTTTTCTAAGAATACAAAAGTTTTTCTTTGTTAGTAAAACAGCCATCACCGTGGTGAGCAAATCAGCTTAGACTCTATCCCAGAACAGAAACATAGCAAATTTAGCTGGAGATGAGACTGTAACTACACTGTCTCCACCTTTCTAGCTATCATTCTTCACAAGATGCTTGCAGTCAACTTGTAGCTTTAGAAATTACCATGTCCTAGTAATCACTTTGGTTTCTTTACATTAAACGTTCGACCTATTTCAACTAAACGCTGTGATTAGTTGAATAATAAGTTGCGGGAATCCAATTACACTGATGGGAAAGAAGCATTATCCAGTAAGATCATTTGTATCCAATAATCCTCATGGCTCCACAAGACATCACAACAAAAGCTCCTTAAAAGACAACTTTAACCCCCTAATACGCCTTCCTGTACAAGATACTATGCTTTATCTTTCTCCCATGTAGAAAAAGAAAATCTAAATAAGGAAATTTATCTCAGTAGTTTATCAATAAATTATTAGAAACAACCTGCGTATGTGGACAGCTGACTTATAATGTTACAAGTAGTAGTGAAAATAAGTTACTCTAAAATCATTCAGGCTTCAAGCATTCATTTGTCAACTATCCAGGTCACATCATGTTGTTGCATAACAACATATAGCAACGCCAGTCGGTATGTGAAGTTTAACTCATACCAAACTTCACACTATTTCTTTATGCTACTTATTTCCTCTTTCATACAATTTTAACGACTCGGCAGAAACCAACTTGACAGCCAAAAACATCAAAAAGCAAATAGGTGTCATGTAAAATCAAATCATAAAAGTTTGATTGAGATGAAAAGCAGACTTGAGGCAATACAACTTCAAGCAACTAATTAGCAACTAACACAATTATTGGATGAAAGGATCTTATTACCCAATTATTGCGTTAAAACATAAATATTCACTAGACAAGAGAAATGGCAGAAAAGAGGTACGTTGAAAAATATGAAAAATAGTTCAGAGCTCATCACCAATCTTTTTTAGGAAAAGTAGCAAAAGTCAAAACTGTTATCAAGGGATTTCTGGCAATAGACAGAAAGCTTGGATGAGAGATGAGAGGTAAAATATATGGATCATACAACCAGAAAGTCTACTAAATTCACATTAATGGAAGGATGGCATCGAAATCTAGTTATTAAGCCAGAAAAGGAAAAAAAAAATTACCAACAAGAAGCTTTCAAGCTTTTTTCTGAAAGTCAATCGGTTATCCACCTACCTGATCATCGGAATATCTCTCAGAATGCGAAGATATCGATCCAGAACTCTCAGTTTCACCAGGACTCCTCTCAGAAGACTTCTTCTTCCACAACCATTTTCTTTTTTCCATAGCAAATTCCAATAGCCCAACACCAATCAGCTTAACAGAGACTGTTCATCTGCACACAAAAGAAAGGAGCTTGTTCAAGATGTCACCAAATGCCCACCAGAAATCTTCTTAAATAAAGGATAAGGAGGACAACCTAGGACAAAATCTATTTCTATAAAAGAATATGAGCAAACCCCTTTAAAAGCAGAACTTTCAACAATCTAAAACGTTAAAAAATAGCAACATTACTTGGCTTATCATTTTCTCAGCTTTGCTTCAAATCTAACCCTCTAACTGTCCAGCCCCAACAACAGATTATACTTTTAAGACCCAGAAAAGTTCTTTATTTTTTAATAAACAAAGGGAAAAGAAAATTATACTCAGAATACTGGTATGAAGAATAGAAGAAAAAGGCAGCTTTAATTCCTACAAGTAGTAATTCAAAAGTCACCAAAAGCCCACTACTTGAATCACAAAACTCGAACTAACCATCTCATTTTTCAAATCTTTCAAAACCCCATTACCAAGAAAGATAAATCACAATCAATGTAACAGTAGCTAAAAAGAAATACTCAGAAATAGAAAGCCGAATAAAAAGGATCCTAAACCTGAGGTACCCATCAAGGCTAGAGAGCTCAAAGGCCTCTTCTTTATATTTCACCAAAAACTAATAAAAAAAACCCAGGTATACAACCAACTCAAGACATATGAAATAAAAGAAAAAATACAGAAAAAGGAACAACACGGAGGAATCAGAGCAGCTGAGCTGACCCAGATCAAATACCTTTGACTGGAGGAGCAAAAAGAACCTTAAACCAGATGGGGAACCAGTAAAGAAATAGAAAACCAAAGTTGGGTTCAGATTTGAAATCTTAGTTTAAAGGGGAAAAAAAGAAAACATTAAAACAAACTCTGCAAGAAAATCTGTGGAATGTCAGTAGATAATCAACTAA